GGTGGCATGTGGTTTAATCTATTTAGGTAGACTCTGTGGGAAGGCTTTTCACTTCTTGCTGGTCCACATCCTGCATCTGGTTCATCACAGATCCTGGGAGCTATCAGCGACCTGCCATATTGCCTGCCAGCCTTAGAGTCACTGACTCTGTCGCCATGAGCCTGACTTGTTGACCCCAGATTCATCTCCCTCTGCCTCCAGCAACCTGTGGTCTTCTTGCTTCCGTTTGTCTTCCTGCTTCCTGGCTCATTGACACTGGCAGCTACTTTAGTCAAGAACAGCCCCCAGCTTAACATCTGATTCATGGACTTAAATGAGACTGGACTTACCTGTTTCCACACTAACTGAGCCACTTTTGGGGGGTAGAAAATTCTTTACATATCTATCCCTATCCCTGTTCCTAAACTATGGGGGTTTCTTCTCTAGAATAGGCAACCCAACCCACATTCATTTATTGATATATTTCACCTGGTACGCCATCAAATCCTGGAGTGTTATTTTCTCCCAATACCTTTGATGTAGCTTGGAATTTGTCTTTTAATACCATAGGATCTTGATCATAAAGTACCTCTTGCAAGGGCTGGATGTTGACATTCTTTTTGATGTAATGATGGTGCACGTTCCTTCCATTTTCTTTGAATAGTTTCTGCATTGTTAATGTTTGACCCACTGAGGTCTTCAGTGTCATAACTGGAGGCTTGAATTTTTTCTTGAGTTCTTTCATCTTGAGCAATGCTGAGCGTGTTCTTCTTTTTGGCTTTCTAACTCTCGGTCTTTGAACATTTCAATGTAATGTTTTGTTTTTCTGAAGCCCCCATTAAAATGTTCTGCTCAGCTCTTTTGTTTCATGATTTCTTCCATTGGCTCTAGCTTTTCTGCATCCCAGAGCACGTCTCTTCTGCAGTCCACTTGGTCCTTTTCCCTCCCCCGTCCCTTATGACCTTTTACTCTCTGCATTTGTAATGTTTCTGATGCTTTCCCACACACAGCTGGTCTGATCTTTGGTCAGTCGTGTTCAGTGTTTCAAATCTGTCCAGCATGGTGACCCAGCTGGTATTTAAAATGCAGGTGGCATAGATTCTAGTATTATAGAAGCATGCAAACTACAACGCTCCCCAAAGTTACAGACTACTTGTGGTAACATGAACTACAAACTGTAACTATCGCTAGAAAAATGTAAGTCAGCCTTTAAATATAACATTTACATGTACATAAACAAAATTAAGTTAGGGATACACATTACCCTATATTAAAATGATAAAAAAACACTTATTTGTTGAAAAGCTGTAACTCATTACTTAACATCGAGCCATTTTGAAGGAATTTCATATTCATGTTAAAAAGAATCTCCAAGTTTGGGAAAAACAATGAAGTCATTTAGTAAATGTGGCAGGACTAGTCTGTGGAGTCCCTTCATTGTCACCACAAGTGAGATCCTAAACTGGGAATTGGGAATAGACGGATATAATTTTCAAAGGTCTGTTTTAAAAAGAATATTTTATCTTTGTACCCTCTGTGGGCAAATATTTTTTAAAGTATGTTTATCTCCAGAGTTTTAGGCATAAATAAAGGCGCCCTGGTAGCACAGTGAGTTTAGCATTGGGCATATAACCATCAATGAATGCTAACCTCTCAGCTGTTCCAGAGAAAACGATGAGGCTTTCTGCTCCATAAAGATTTATAGTCTCAGGAATTCTATGGAGCAATTCTGCTCTGGATTGTAGTCTTTCTATGATTGGGGATTGACTTGGTAGTAGTAGGTTGAATTTGGCATAAAATAATATATACTTCTTATTGGTTGGATTTAATGAACTGAGGCCAATAGTTTTAACCTATGGTCATTATATCTGCTTTCCATTCCTACTGCAGTTCTTTATCTTCAGAGAGAGATTAATAAATTTTTTTCTACATTGTTGTGATTAAGTAGAAAATAGCTGTTTTTGGCAACTGTACAGAAATTGGCATTGAATGGTTGTGCTACACAATTTGGATCTGATTTGCGATTAGTGGGATTTTGTCTTTGAAATGTTTTCCACTAATGCACCTGTAAGTCTTTATCTTGTGTTGTTGTAGGGTCTTCTTTGCCAACTCCAGAATTCAAAAGCATCTTATATCATAGGGTAATGAGAGGAAATAAGCGTAACTATTGAAATGCTGAATTTAACAACTACATCATTTCCCAGTTTTCAGTTTATGTGAACAAGTTGTGGAAACCACCTGTAAACCTATTGACTGAATTTATGGAGAAGCCTAAACAGGATGGAAGTCATTCAGCAGAACTATTTTTTCATCTTCAAAGCCCGTTAGAGAAAGAACACCTGCCGCGGCGTGCCAGTGAAAGTCATCTCAGCTGGTAAGGGCCTGGACAGCAAATTGTACTTTAATTTTCTGAATTAAAGATTTTATATTTTGTCTTTAACATAAATTATTTGAACCAAATGCAGCTTTCTTGCAAGAATATCTTCAGATGCAGTATTCAATATTTATTTAATCTGATTACAAATATACTCATATAGTAGAATTTGGCTAGTTTTTTGACATCTTATGGAAAACAATTGCAACTGAAAACCTTATCAAGGATCTGTGAAGCAATGTTATCAGCTAAGCTAAATGAAAATATAAATCTTACAAAATACTGGAAATAATGGTTAATGAGTACTAACTTAGTGTTATTTGGTATATTGCTATTTAACAAATACCTTTTATATTTTGGTTCTTTAGAATTGGGAATATGCTAGTTTCTTATATGGGTCATTGTCTCCCAAAGGAGACAATCCTTTTATAAATATCATTATTTATCACTAGATAGATAGAGTTTCTACACTTGTTATTAATGAAAATCACATTTCACTCTATATAAAATTGTCATTCACTTCCTACCCACAGTTTTTAATAATGGATAAATGTCATTTATAACCAGTGTCTTCCTAAGTCACCACATTTAGTCAGTGGTTTTTTAAGACCACCCTTCTGACATCACCCCTAAGATGCCTTCAACGGAAGATGCGCCCTTTCATAATGGAAAAGAAAGCGACTAATTAAATAAACATACAATGATTTCTTATCAATTAGAATTTTATTTAATCCCCTCAAATGTAGGCTTAGGTTTTTAATCCAAATAACTCTTACATAGAAGTAAAATGAATGAAAAAAATGATTTAAGGCATATCTCAAATTTCCTTTATAGTCAAAGTTTAACTCTTTTGAGCCTATTTTGGGTTCAGGGTTGTCTTAACTTGTAAGAGTATTGGGAGTACAATATTTCTGAGAAGCAGAAGTTCTTAGCAATACAATTTATTTACATGGATTGGGTTCTTAATTATATAAATCAAGCCTCCTTTGGAATCCTGCTTCCAGAGGTTGCTAAACATTTCTACTTCACCAAGTTCTTCACCAGTTCCCATGACCCTTTTTTCCTGGTGTTTAAAACCGTACTGTCCTCTTCCCGCTGGGACAGTCCTCGAACCTTTGGGCGCAATAAACTCAGACACCTTCTGTAACTCATTGGCAGGCAATCACAGATCAAGCCTGCCTGCTGGCTGAAAAAGAACAATATGAAGCTTTCTGCTCCGGGACCATAAGAATGTGCTGGAGAAGATGTACCTAGGAAAATGTAGTCAAGATAACAAATAGTATCATTGTGTTTTGAAGAATAATAATATACCATAAAGCCAAATGGAAGGATTTCTAGATATCTAGGAAATTTTAGTTTTTTGTTTTCCATTTGGATAGCTTATTCTTCTGAAGGAAGTTTTTGTAGAGAAAAGTAAGTTTCAAGCCAAGATGAGACTGGGGCCTAGAAAGAGCAATCTTTTTGGATTTGGTATAGGGGAAAAGGAAAGGAAGAAGAAAAGATGTATACGTATCACATATTTCACAAACCAGAAAGGTGATATTGAATAATTATTTGTTAAACATAGTGCAGTGAAACATTGCTTATGGTGGTCTTTGTGCAAATGTGTATCTTCACATTTTCAAACTTGTTTTCCCAATGTACAGAAGGTATTAAAAAAAAAGTGGACCCCATTGCCCTTGAATTGATTCCTCTTCATAGCAACTCTATAAAAAAACCAGGAAAAAGCTCTCTCCATTGAGTTGATTTCCAACTTCTAGTGACCCTATAGGACACAGTAGAAATGCCCCTTTGGGTTTCTAGACTTCAAATCTTTGTGGAAGCACCACGCCTTATCTTTGTACTACAGGCAGCTGGTGGTTTCAAATAGGCTAGCAGCTCAGTGCTTAACCCACTACACCACCGGAGCACTTAGTGACCCTATAGCACAGAATATTCTGCTGCAAAGTGTTTCCAAGGCTCTAATCCTTATGGTAGCAGACTGCTACATCTTCATAACTGGAGGATTTGAACTGCGGATTTGTCTTTTGGTTAGCAGCCTAGTCTAGCACTTCCCCACTTTGCCACCAAGGCTTCTTAAAATGTTAGAGTGTATGGGCGGGAATGGGGGGGCTGGGAATTAATATTTTGCAGTAACAATTTACTGTCACATTTTGTAGACCGGTTTGTGGAATTGTAATGTTTGGTTAGACTATGCTATATTTCATGGCACCCCTATCTGTTAATAAGTTGAACTGCCCCCGTATGGTTTTCTTGACTATGAGCTTTTCTGAAGCAACTCTTCAAGGGTTTAGTCTGGGTACTTTGGAGAAACAAATCCACAGCAACTCATGTATAAGAGAGTTTTATGTAAAGAAAATGTGCATCACGAAAACATCCCAACCCAATGCTGCCCAAGCCCACAAGTCCAACATTAACCCATTAACCCAACACCAGTCCACAAAGTCCTCCACCTCACAAAACAGAGGCAATGATGCCGACTGCAGGAGGAAAGCTGAGTCAGTGAATGAACAAGCATCTCAGCACTAGCAGGGGTCTCCACACGGCTGCTCCAGCACCCAGGGCTGCATCGGGATAGGTCCATGTAGCTTCTTGGGGATGTCTTGTAGGAAGTCAATCTTGCAAGCTGAAGCAGGGAACTGCTAAGGCAGCTGCACCTGGTGCAACCATCACAAAACAAGAGACCCAAGAACTAGAAAGGTGAGGCTCACCACCCATTTATCCCTCCGCCTTTCAATTAGCCCCACATGTGATTATCGGCCAGGTGGGCACAATTGACTAACTCAGGTTTATTCCACAAAGCCACTCAGTATGTTCGAACTGTCAACTTTTAAGTTAGCTGTACATCAGCATGAGTCAGAATCAGCTCCAGGACAATGGGTTTGCTTGCTGTTTGTTGTTTTGGTTTATGCTATATTTGTATAAGTATATAATTTGTCGGTGTGACATATTCAACTTGAATTGCGTTTGTCCATATATAATTAGCCTGAAGCAAGACATTCTAAATGAAAAGACTGCACTGGAAGCAACACTTGAGGAAGCTGAGATGGTAACCTGTTCCCTGGAATTACTTCTGTCACTATTTAAAGACACCATTGAAAGAATTGCTTTTGAAGATGTGAGTATTTCACTTGTGACTGTTTAATAAAATGAAAAGCTGGTCTAATCAGAATACATAACTGACTATCTTAGATAGGTTTGCTCATATAGGACCTGATACCAAAATTGGGGTTTATTCATTGCTCTTTATTTCTATGTCATTAACTGCAATGAATCTCCTACTTTTAATGTTATAAGAAATTCATCTTAGACAGATGGCTGGTAAGAGGTTAAATGAGAAGCCCTCTGTCATAGTTAGGGTTATGTTTATTTGCTGACCTGTGTGAAGGGAGGGGTGGAGTAAGAGCCTGATGACACTTCCTTTGGGGTGTGACTGTTTTCTGACGGAGACACTGAAGAGAACTGGCTTCCCTTTCTTGCCTTCCTGCCTGCTTGGATTCTGCACCTGGCTTCAGGCCATGTGGGCTGCTGTTCCTGGGAAATGTTGGTGCCCTGCTTTGTTCCTGCTGACCTTGGATCCACACGAAGGCACCCACTGGCCAGTCATTCCTCAGCTTCTCACTTCACCTTGGTGCTTCATCGTCCAGCACTGCCAACTCTGGAGGGGCCCCAGCTAGCACCTGCCCCATGGACTTGACATGGACCGAGTGGGGCCTCTACCTTGATATAAAGTTCTGTCTTTTCCATCTATGAGTGTCTCTACTTTTGTTTCTCTAGAAAACTCAGACTAACTCCATATCTATCTTGGTGATTGACTTACCAAGAGTTAAACTAGAAAATCAGCTTTTCTCAACAATGATTTTAAAACTGAATTATTCAGAGAGAGGAAATGTATCTATTTTCTATAGTGCTATATGAAAAAGAAAATCCTGTATTATAAAATTTCAGCATACTAAAATTTGAGTTCATAGCAAAAAGTGTACTATGTTCTATAATTTTTAAAGAAAAAGCACTGAAGTGTAAGCTCTTGATAATAGCTTATTTTTATTTAATTTTACTTTAACATCCTATGTTGTAAATTAGGTTGAGGGGGGCCAGCCCCCCACCACTACCCACGGATTCAGTAAGCACAATTGTGTGGTTGAGATATATAAGTATTATATTAAAGTCATCGAGAGCACGAGCGATAGAAGAGACATTACAATAATGCAGTCAGACACATGACATGGTAACATTGCTCACCGCAGCCCCGCTTGGTGGTCCCCGTGGAGAGAGGGGGAAGGGAAGGAGGGCAAGGGAACAAGGGAGCAAGGATGGGAGAGGAGAGGAGGAAGAGAGGCGAGGGAGGGGGTGAGACCAGCGTGAGAGAGCTCTATTGCTAGCCCAGGCCTATATACCTTTTGGGGGCGTGCAAGCCCACTAATTACAGGTAAAG